TTCTTTTTTAAAAAAGAATTTTATTAAGTTTCAGTAAGAAATAAAATATAGAAAAATCAAAAAGAAAAAAGAAAAATAGCAAAGCAGAAAAAATACAGAAAAGAAAAAGCAACTTCCGACTTTCTTTGGTATAGGTATAGATATAAAATACATTCAGCTCTTACTCTACTGTTTAAAAGAATTACATATTAGATCTCTCTCTTACTCATATTTAAAAACTTTACAAATTACAAATGAGTCTATATCAAGAAAAACTATTAAAAATCAGTACAAAGTATTGCTATCGTTATATAATAAATCAGTCATCAAATCCCAAGATCAAATTTTCACTTTTTTGAGTCTCAAGTAAAAAGTCCAAGGGTGGTTTCCAAACAGAAACAAAGCCCGACAATGTCCTTTCTTTAATCAAAGTACTCAGTTTCGCCATCTCCTCCAGTTCCATTAGGTTCAATATCTATTCTTCAGCTGTAGGTATTTGTAAATCTTTCAATTTTTGCACATATAAAAGTATCGCTGCAGTTATCATATGAAGAAACACATTTCCATGTTTTCCTTCCACCTGTTTATCCATCATACCTAAAAGAAAAGTCTCTGGTTTCAATTGTACATCCATTTTAAAAAATTTTTTAATCAAAATACATATCATATCCCAATATTTCTCAGCTTTCTCACAAGTCCACCATAGATGATACAAGGTACCTTCACACTGGTTACATTTCCAACATACATTTGAAACTCCTTTGTACATCTTACTTCAGCATCTTTTTCCAGAAATAAATAGAAATAATTTTTGCCATAAAATGATTTCTAAATATGTCTGTATTAAACATATCTACCCAATTTCTGATAGAAAGTAGTGTTTTTGAGAGCCAGTTTGGTATAGTAATTAATATAAATTCTAGTCCTTCTTTAGATATGGAAGCCAGCTGGATGAGTTTGGGCCAGTTTCTTTCAGCCCAACACACCGCCCAAGGTGGTGGTTGTATGGAAAATAGGACGAGGGATCATTATTTGTGCCATCTTGAGTGTAGCAAATAAAGACAGGATATAAATCTAATAAATAAAAATCGAAAACATAAATACATATCTATAAGCATACATTTCTGCTACAGAACATAAGAGCAGGTTTATGGAGGAACATTGTACAGTGGTACCTCGAGTTACGAACGCCCCTCCTTACGAATTTTTTGAGATACGACCAGCTCCGGCCCCAAAAATTTCCCTCTACTTGCAAACTCCTCCTCGAGTTACGAACGCCCCTCCTTACGAATTTTTTGAGATACGACCAGCTCCGGCCCCAAAAATTTACCTCTACTTGCAAACTCCTCCTCGAGTTACGAACCGGATCCGCGGCCATTTTCCCTGCTGCCATGCGGTCGCGGCTTCCTGTGGGCGAAATCGCGGTAGCAAGGAGAAGGTCGGTGAGGCTTGTTGG